TTCCCAGTGAAAGATACTAACATCAATTCGTGTCCAGAAAAATCTTCCCCTTGTTTTATAGGGAGCAAGACTGCGGGCCACTCCCACATTGTAACAGGAATGAAAAAAAAAAAAAAAAACATGGAAATGTTGAAAATATGTAGCATTCCAATGCTCCCAATTTCACGACCTTCTTCAAAACTATTGCCAGAGGGTACCACAACTAAGTGCACAGAACGCCCTGTACCAATAAACAACATTTGCAACCATGCATATGCAAATTATGACCTATATACTTCACCAAAAGTGCCACAGATCAGAATTACTGTGCTTTGAAACAAGGTAAGTGACTATTCTAGGACACCACTACATTTACTATTTCCATAGCAATCCGCTTACCCCATATGAAACAGTACAGTATCCACATCTTTAAGTGCAATAATATCGGGTAAAAAATAGCACTGGCAGTGGACATGTAATGACATGCATCACTTTTCGAGTGTATACTCTATGCAAAATAAAAGAGCACAGCATACTAAAAAAGCAACTCCAATAATAATGACATAGCAACTTAACACACCCATTACTGTATCATTTTTTATAACAATCATTTTTTTTCCTTCCTCACAACAGTAATGAAGATACTACCAGTACTACCACAACAATCAATATTTCCATAGATATTAGCCTACAATCTACAATTAGAGGAACTATGTAAACTATGCTGGGTTGATATTTAAAGATTATTTTTGCTACAGTTTTCTGCATTTATGCTTTAGTCAACCCAATTTATTAAAGCAATTGAGCACCTTATTCACATCACCAGCCTGGGAATGACAGGAAAGCACAGCTTTGGGATAAGTAATTGCATTTTTTTACAGTGCACCACAGTTTCTTTTTTTCTGACTTCACAATATGGAGCCTTCCTATACAAAATCCACATGCAATTTTCCTGTACAACTTAGCAGAGTGATCTCACAACTGCCAAGGCAAGGGAAAAGAAAAAAAAAATGAAGAGCTTAACTTATATTTCATGACTAGGCAGCATTACATATCACATGCCCTCATGGATACTATCAGCAGTGACCTTCATGAGGGCAAGCAAACTGCACAAAACTGCAGATAAAGATGCTACGAACTTATACTTGTATTTCTGGTGCATGTCCAACGCTATAAATAGTGATTTGGCTCATAAAGTTGCACTTTACACTAGTAATGCTCCAAGACTGGACAACACAGCTACACCTAGTTACGGACAGCCTCAAAATCGAGCTTATGCTTTACAATCATTAGCAATACAAGAGGCAGCAACTGATTCGTTGTGAAGCCTCATTTACCAGCAATTTGTGGGTCCAACAGCAACAAACCTGTGTTCAACAATGTCCGCTTCTCTCAGCATTCGGCGGTCACACTTGAAAACTTGTGAGTTTTAGCAATTCCTACCTCCTGACCACGCTTCGGGAACTCTTTAACATCCCTACAGTGGGCAGTTGCCATCATCACCATGCTAGCCAACTAGGCAAAGCTGCATTACCACTATTACCTAAACTTCCTACAGCATTCATTTTGCCACTGAAACATTCAGACGTGACATGATAAGCAGTGTTTTCAACTGTGCCACACGAATATGGGGCAAGAGTTACTTGGCTGTGCTTAAAAAACAACACTGCTACTATCCGCCATGCAGAATGCGCCAGCAAGCAAACAAGAAGGGCCCCTCACAAAATCCAATGACCACGACAGCCCAACAAAGCAGCACTTCTACATCAGCAAATCCTCCCTAGAGTCCTCTCTCACACGGAATCCATTTCATGCATCGCAAAACATTGCTGGCCAAAAATACCATTACTATGACTGCCTAATCAAGCTCACCCCTCAACACAAAACCGCCGCTGCAAAGATGACTTGGCCAATTTCATAACGCTACTGAGCGGACACTTTCTGTACTCCCTTATCCAGAACTATTTCTTCCGTGCTACCTAGGAGGTATAAATGTGAATGAACCCATACTAACAATGAGCAAAATGAGCAATTAACAATGAGCAAAACTTAGCTCTTCATATGCAAGTTGACAACAAATAGTAAATGAGCACTGACACTAAAATTTGAAGTCCTGTTTTTTGGGACCTCATGGCCCGTTTATCACAGCTGTAAACCTCGCCTGCTCGAATACGCAAAGGCTAATTATGTGAAGAAATATGAGCACCCACTCGCAGTTTCGGTTTCAAGTAGAGCAGAGAGATGGGTGAGTTCAGGTTTTTTTGCAAGTACGTCTGGTCATGTTACCAAAAACAAAATAGCCGCACATGTAGAGAGAATGGCAGCAAAAAAACTCGTGCAAAAGGTGGTGGTTAACATTACAAACACGAGGAAGTCGCAAAGTGCACCACTTCGCACTCGGATGCACAGAACTTACTTCAAAAGGCTCCGTTTGAACATGTTTGAGGCCATATGTGCGCTGCAGCGATTTGTTAGCAAGTGCCACTTTTTAGTGGGCGTGTACTAGCCCCCCCCCCCCCTTTCCCGTACAAATTTAATTGGGCCCAGTGGCACGAATTAAGTGTGTTGTTTTCATCACTTCTCGAATTGCTGAATGCACCGATATCGTTATGTGAGTGGCAACTCAAAAACAAAGCCGTTGTAACTTTATTTCCTACAGAGAAGATGCACTATTTTCGGACTAAAGCTACAGACAACACCTGCTTCTGTAATCAGAAGTGACACTTGACCACGTGTGAATGACAACATAGGCCATGCATTTTGATCAGTTTGACCCAACAATTTGTGCAGTAATATTCATACAGATCTAGATAGGCAAGACTATTGAGTACTAAATATTATGAAAGCGCTCTTTATACTTGCTCATATACAAAAGGGTTTTCGCTTTTAAATATGAAAACTGTGAAGACCATTGCGAAAAGGACACTAGGGACGATGCACAACGGCCACCACAAGGAGAAGTGATCTGGTACGTATTTGTAAGAAACTCGTGGTTATTGGAAACTGCCCTTGACATCAGTGGGAGAGTTAAATGAGAAAGGGAATGTTTTTCTCTCGTCTACTGGCGTATTGAAGTTTGAAGGATAATAACTTCCGTTACAGAGTACAGAATTCGATGATTCTTTTTGCATTCATCTCGACATGCGTGGAGTATACAAACTCCAGCGCTACAGAATGCAGACGAAAAAGCGTCGCAGGACCTTTACAGCTGAGTCACATGAGATAGACCCACAGAAAAAACTGCTGCTTGTGCACTCATGTTAAAGATTTAGGGGAAGTACACTGTCCTTTATGTGATCGCATGACCTGCTCTCTACAATGGCTGCCTACATTATCTTTCAACGCTTGTCCAGAAGTTATAACACGTTGTTTTGCTTGCCAATAGATGACGCCAAAAGCCAACGTCTTTTACTGTTGCTTGATGATGATCCTGTAGGCAGCCGCCATAGAGTGCAGGCCACGCGCTCACGTGTTCCCCTTCATAAAGGACAGTGTACACAAATATGTCACGGCAACTTATCTTGTGTTGGTACTCCTTTGAGGCACAGCTTGAAATAACGTACTGCCAGGAATGACAGTCCTTCATATCCACATTTTGCAAACGCTATGTTAAATTACGACATTTCCAACATTCACCTACTATTCTTGTGTCTTCCCGAAACACAGCCACAAGTGCCCACTAACGATTATTTACAAACCACGCTGAGTGATGAGTGTTGCAATATGGCTAGTTCATCTGAAAGAAAGACACTAATCTTTTGTAACCTCGGAGCAACAGCACTTTTTAATTGCGCTTGTGTCCAACTGCCCGAAATTTTCCGACAGAAAATATAAAGAAATTCAAATTATTTGACAACAGCTTCAAATACTGGTCGATCGTGAAAGGATACCCAACATGGAGGTCAGTTCAGCACTACTTTGAAAGGAAAACTCAAAATCTTTTGGAAGTTGCATTATTTGGTTGTGAACTCCGTTATCGTGCGAGAGGACTCTTCTGGGAGGCAGAAAACAATAGTGGAATGCAATACCGCGAAAAAGTTACAGAATAAAAAGAATATAGAAAAAAATGTCTTACAAAAAGACGCCCTCAATGTGCGTTACTAGAAGAACAAAAAAAAAGCACATATGTTAAACATGAATGAAATCACCACAGTACAAGAAAAACACACTTATCAACGAAAATTACGAGAAAATTTCCGCTCTAGAAACACTGATAAGGACAAGCAAATGAACTTCATAACACGACTTCTAGAGATCGTGGGGGGGAACGCGAGTGGCGGGAAGTACACCTTAAAAAACAAAAGAAAACGTGCCAGCTCTAGAGGCCACTGTTACGAAAAAAAGAGCGGTGAAAGGCTAATGGCACCGCACAGCCGACGCATGCGCACCTGGCTAGGGGGCGATCGAATAAAGAGCGGGTGGTTAACGCTACACGCGAGCCCCTCGGCGTCACGAAATTATCATTAACAAATACGAACGTCACACGCTACGAACGCACCGCTGTCTCCTTATAGCAGCCCCACCCAAGACAGTCCAGACTGAGCGATCCAACGAAACAAAAATACACAAACACGCCGGCGCAGTACGCAAGCGAACCGGCATAAAAACGCGCGCCGCACAGCGTAGGCCAGAAGCCAGGCGTGTTCATTGCATGGATGCCGGTCGACAGCACAAATGTTAGGACGACGCGACGCAAGAACGTTTCCCAAGCAGTCGACGTTAGATAAGCAAAACTCTGGTGCGCGTCAGCGTTCGCTGGACTAACCAAACCAGCCGTCATCGCGTTCAAGAACAAAAAGTATAACAAGAGCTCCCGCCGCCACCATAAACGTTAGGCCTAACGTGGTTCAGCGTGCATTGGCGCCGACCGGCGCATTTTCGACCGGAATCGACGGTTATAACGCCGGACACGCATCGTAATTTGTCGTGTCGGCGCCAGTATTTACTGTACGTGGCGTGCGAGCACAACAACGCGGGCGAAACGAGCAAATTTAGGAAAAAAGCAAATATCGGCTACTCACAAAGACGGAATTTCACGTCATAGACGCTGCTGCATGAAATTTTGGAAGCCGTGCACTGGCCACCTGCCGGCGAAAAAGACAACCACATTCATTGATAAACTATTCCGCGTCGCTCAGCAACGGCGCGCCTTTATTGTCAGTTTCGGAATTCTCTGAGTTAGGACTCTGGGAAGGTCGGCTATCGGTGACCTGTTTATTTTCGTGCTGTTCGAGTAAAATTACACGCGATCAAGCATTTGAACGTGAACACGCGCAAGTGCCAACTACTCTGAAAACTCTCCACTTGCATGCACCTGCGTCAAAGATAACTTTCGCTACTCGTGGGTCCTGGTCGAAATATAAATTTTTCGATCGCGCATGGTTTTTTTTTTTTTAGCGTGGCAGAGAAAAGCGGCCAGCTGCGTGGTCGTTCGCAAGTGCGCGGAGTGCAACCGGCACAAAGAAAGTTTGTGAAAGCAACTGAAAGCAATTCCAGAAACGCGTTGAGTAGTATTCAAACAACAACAATGGCGTAGAAGTTAGTACGGCGCAGTTTAGTTATTGAACTTGCAACTAATCAGCTTGCAAAACAAAATGAAAAAAAAAATGCGTTTTTACGGAAAGCGAAACGAGAACTAGTCTGTTTCAGTCAACGCTGTCGACGCGCGCGCTGTTTAAAAAATGCAAAACGGCTGCATCGTTGCGAACTTCTCTCATAATTTTATTTCGAAGTTAGAAAAGGACGTTACGAACCAGTATTTATATATATTCTTTTACACTCGCAGGGTATTTCAACAAATCTGTCCGAAAATTTCTAAAATGTCACGGTAACTGCGACGCCTGTCACCTCCGACATCTCAGGCGGAGAGTACAGGGGGGCTTTTTCCGGGCTGCTTGATGCGCTCGTTCGAGGTACTCTACATCCCCCCCTCAAAAAAAAAAAAAAAAAAACTGGCACTGGTTCGGCATATTTCTTAATTGCGAACGGGCTGTTGGCCTGTCTTTCAGTTATTTTGCAGGGAACTGTTTGTGCCCGCTCCTTTTCCATTCAGGCTTACAAAATTCAAATCATGAGGCAGTGACAAATAGGAAGTTTGGCGCCATGGTCGTATCTAAGACGAAGTCACGTGATGACGAAAATTGCTGGCATTTGCGCAGGCTCTCGTGCAAAATGAGTACATGATGTACACGTACATATAAAAAAGCGAGCTTTTTATATGTAAATATACATTTGTGTACTGTCATCTTAAAACTTTCGATAAGCTTTTTTTCTCACTAGCTATATGTATAAAGAGAGAGAGAGAGACAGAAATGGGGAAGATCAAGTTGGGCAACCCGCCCCCTCCGAGAAATTGCGAACTCTTCGCTCATGTTCAGCATTGTTCTTTCTGTGGCGACAGACATTTGCTACGGCAGTAATCACTGTTATGAAATAATTCACATTCGTAGTTTTGTTAATGGGAGCTCCAACACTAATTAGCGCCCCATTTTTTTTTTTCGTGGGTCGTCTAGACTGACGTACAGACACACTAATGCAGCAATAACAGCACGCAGTCCCAAGTTATTCGATTAAAATGAAAAAAATTCGGCCCCGCCACTATGGTCTAGTGGCTAAGGTAGGGTTGCTGGCCCGCAGGTCGCGAGATTCGAATCCCTGCTGCGGCGGCTGCATTTTCGATGGAGGCCAAAATACTGAAGGCCCGTACCTATGCTCAGATTTGGATGCACGTTAAAGAACCCCAGGTGGCTGAAGCTTTTGGAGTCCTCCACTACGGTGTCGCTCAGAATGATATAGTGGTTTTGGGACGTTAAACCACACATATCAATCAATGAAGTTTAGAAAATTCTAAATACAAAAATAAATTCCTATATTCAACTTGATTTTCGCGGGGTCAGTTGACCACATCTCACACACCCAATGACGTCGGACGGCTCGCCCAATGAAATGAGCTGGTAGGGCCCACGTACAGGAAGATCGCACACCGTTGTTCCTTGTTCTTTACAACTTAACGTTGACCTCGTTGCCACAGTAACAAACGTGGTGCCCGACCTTCCGCTTACAAGAATGTGAGCGGGCACTACTGTTTCGAAGCGAGGTATTTTCTGCTGTTCTTTACGACATTCCGAGTCACGAACTCCTCTTATTCTAAAGAACTTGTGGAGCGACCAGGGCGGTGAAGTACTGTTCGCCCTTCGAGCGTTGTTCGGTAAGCCGACCGACGAACAACGGTTCGTCTACGTGTGGCTGTGAAGCTTTTGTTGGATTTTTCCACGACATATGCAGGCAAGCATTTTTTTCTCTGGCTTGCATTTGAAGAACAAACTTCGCCAGAAACAGCTAGGTGGAATGTTGCTTCAGACCACACGACCCGCTCACAAGCTGTTGAGATATTGGTGTGGCACTTGAGTTGGAACAAATAAAAGGCAAATAAAACTGCAAAGCCGGGCTGTGGCACGCTCACGGTAAAAGCGCACGGCGGTAGCGTGCGCGGAAGCTTTGCCCTCATGGCACCAAACTTGAAAGAACAGACGAAGTGGGCGGCTTTCATTGGCCTACCAGTCACACAGAGAAAGACAGTCATGCCTATGAAAGCGACATTGTACTTATATCTCTCCACTTTTTTTTAAACAAATGTATTAAAAAAGCGAAATTGAACTTATCTTTCTCCACTTGTTTATATCTGCTGCTGTCTCTTTTATTTCTTTCCTCTGCTTCTCATATTCTTTCCTACTTCCCGGTTCTTTGCATCAGCGCTCCTTCTATTAGTAGGTTAGAAGTGTGGCTGCTTGGGCTAGTTGGTATATGACGATAGTTATAGCGCGAGAACAAAACGACGACACAGAGACAATAAGGGGGGGCGCTGCGAGCGCTCGATGGTGACGGACGCACTCCAAATCGCCTCCGCAGATTTTCTGCTATTTCTGCGGACATCCACCTTGGTACCCCTGAAACTTGGATTTATCGTCACCGCCAAGTTCTCCGCTTCGCCTAGACAACACCTTCGTCCAGGTGGGTCCAGTTTTGACAACTTGAGGGACGTCCTTCACTCCCGGCTACAACGCCGCCTCGCTAAGGGCTCTCAGCCCGGCGATGGCGGCCGCTAACGTGGTTACGGGCTATGATCCTACCTCAAGCCAAATGCTGTCCATGGAGCTTTCACCCTCCGAAAACACTATGCCATCAGAAGATGAATACCTCGACGACATGGTGAAACTGTGGCAACGCAAGCAAGCGAAATCGAAGTCTGCGTCTCAACAACAACGAGACGCCACGGCGGGCCACCATTCCCCAGCCTTGCAAGGAACGCCGGCGCGCCATCCCTCCGGCGGTGTGCCTACCTCTGCTCCGTCCTCGCAGCCAGCGAAGCAACGCAAGTGGCATCCGCGTCAAACTCCTCGCCTCTCTCGCGACGACTACATCGTAGTGCTGAAACCTCGCGTTCCCTGCGAGCTACGCACATTTGTCCCGGCCGATCGCGCGGGCGACGCCATCCGCAGCTACCTCGGCGACTGGACTACCACGCAAATTCAAGTGTGGCCAATCTGGGAACAGAACATCTTGGTCTGTAGCACCACCATTTTGCCTATGGCACAGCGACTCCTCGGGGACTTCCAGCTGCAAGTAGGGGATCAGCAGCTGCCCGTTCGAGGCCACGCCAAGGCACCAGGGGATACATGCAAGGGCGTCATCAATGTAAACCCTGCTTGTACCAGGCGGGCCACCGCTTAATAAATCGGGATGATCCCACCTCACCTGGCCACCTTGAGAGAGGGCGCGCGCGCGGCGCGGCAGCCATCAATAAACAGTCCCTTGCTAGCTAGCGTCTCGTGTGGTTGTGTCTTTGCTGAGCGCGTAAAGCAGAACATGGTGTCAGAAGTGTAACAGTCGAACCCTGCGCTGAAGATGGACTGCCTACCACCACCCGAGCCACTTGTACTGACAAATACTCCGGCCGACAACTGGAAAAAGTTCCGCCAACGAATCGAACTCTACTTCAAAGCTACTGAGACCAACAAGAAACGGACGCCAGCACAGAAGGCTGCCATCTTTCTACACGTCGCGGGCCCAGAGGCAATTGAAGTGTTTAACACCCTACCTCTATCAGCAGAACAACGAGAGGACTATGACTCGATCGTCAAAGCCTTCGAAGACTACTGCACGCCTCGGTGCAACGAGACATTCGAGAGGTACGTTCTGCGCAGTCGGCAACAACAGGATGGTGAACCTTTCGAACAGTTTTTGCGCGACATTCAGTTGAAAGCACAGACTTGTAATTTTGGCGAACTTAGGGACTCGATGGTGAGGGACCAGATAGTGTGCGGTATCGTCGACAAGAAGCTACGTGCACGCCTGCTTCAGGAGAAGGACTTAACCCTAGAATCAGCTGTAGAAATCTGCAAAGCCGCGGAACTGGCAGCAACCCAGAACCGGGCTCTTGAAAGCGAAGCGAAAGTGCAGAGAGTCGAAAAAATTGCAAACGCTGCCGGACAGTCTCGTACGAGCGGACAACGTCGACGCTGTGGCTACTGTGGCAAGATTCACGGACCAAGACGCTGCCCAGCGTTTGGAAAAACGTGCACGCTGTGCAACAAAAGAAACCATTTTGCAGCTTGCTGCAGGAGTAGACGCGGCGTTCATGAGTTAGGCGTCGCTGCAACAGAAGATGCACTGGAGGAGTCCTCGGACGCTACCGATGAAGACATTCAAGTTCTCACGGTACAAATCAGAAACGTGTCCAAAAATCAGGATTGGACGGTGGCAGGGGACCTTGCCGGGCACCCGACAGAACTGAAAGTGGATACAGGAGCGCAAGCGAACATATTGCCGTACTCGTACTTTCGCAGGATGCGTTTGCCGACCATGGTGCGGCCATCGACCACAGTACTTACTAACTACGAAGGAAGCAAAATACATCATTTGGGCGTTATCAGTCTGCCACTACGTCTAGGAGAGCAGCAAGAGAATATCAGTTTTTTTGTGGTCAAGAGAGGCAAGCAAGTCCTACTCGGATTGAATGCAGCAGAACGTTTCGGGCTGATTTCCCGCGTTCACGATGTATCTTCAAGAAGTGACGTTAGCACCGACT